TCAAAGCTGTTCTCTGGGACAAAATTGGCAATACATTACTGGTTGCTGCCTGTCTGTCTGGCCATTTTCATTGCTTCTTTTATACTTCTTTCTAAAGCCTTCCAGAATTATGTTGTGATGGCGCATTTTAGTCAATATATCCAGGTGTACAGGTCTTGTAAACTCTTTTATAATTAATACTCAACTCTTTGAAATGATGGTTTTTATTACTAATTAATTAAAATATATAATGGTGCTGCAATTGTATTGGTGGCAGCGCACTTTTCCCTTCCCGTATTATTTGTTCACTTTAGCAAAGACGGCGAGCTCCGAATGATAGAAATACAGTCTTCTATCTTCGAAACGAAGACGACCTGGGAAGTAGATTAAATAATGCATCATCGGTTTTATGCCTTGTAAAGTATGCCTGATCTACTGTTTGTCCTGTCCTACGTATTCAATGCGTTATCGCCTGAATAGCTCACCGTTGGACGGGTGGATGGGTCCTACTACGATGTACCTCTCTTTAAGTGGACGACAGCCCCTCTGGAGGATGAATTTCTACCATATTTCCAATACTAAGCTGAGTTTCATCTCTCTGTTTGTTTTAGCATGATCTTTTAGTTCACATAATTTTGAGCATATTTTTTCTTAACACTTGAAAAAGAATTATGTTGCAGGTCTTTCACAAAAAAATCGGTTCGGTCAACTTATTTTAATCAAAATATGCTTTTAATCCATCTTCACCAAGTAATTCGTGTCAAATAGTTGTCTAAGTAGGTGATGCTTCCTCCGGGCAAAATGATGAATAAGTGGTAGGATGCCTCACGACTCTACAGAATGCTTTCATGTAAAATTTTTATCCACCTTAGGACATGTCATTCAGCTTACCCGTAGTCGCTCAAGAAAAGAAAGGTTACAAGCGTGAATTTTCGGGTCTGCCAACCATGCAACGAAGAGGCCAGCATGCAATGCGTCAACAGCGAATGCTGCACTTTTTGCAAAAGCGATGACATTGCGTCCAGGCGTCGCGGCTTCCGCGAAACGCTCGCACGCCAGTAACAGCGGGCTGCGTTTTAGCGTTGCAAAATCGCCATTAAGCTGGTCGGAGGCAGAAAGAAAAAGTTATTCGTTACTTTCAATATTGGTGGTGCTCATACTAAATCCGACGAATCTCACGCGGGACAACTTGTCTACTTCCTTACTTTCAGGCCTTCCGTCAGTTCACCTTTGCGCACGCAAACATGATGTTGGTCTCTACAGTGCCTTCCTTTGAGTCCTGATCGTGACACTATGTTTGACGAAGCGCCACAGTTTTGTTTTAAAATTTTTATTACAAAAGGTCTACTTCATGCATTTCTGTTGCATGTAGGGTATCGGAAAGCATTTCTCATTTCACATAAATGTTGATGGCAACTAATGTCAATATCCAACTTTAGCCTCGTATATTTTATAAAAAGTCACAATGAAATGACATGTTGGAGACCCCTAATCAAACGACGGCATGAAACTATAAACATTGTCTATGCAGATTCGAAAGACGTCCCTACTGCTAATACTACTACTAGCGTGCAAATATGATTTGCTACTTTAAATTTTCACCTCAATCTCTGATAAATAGATTTGAATGTCACCTGAGCCTATCGTTAAGATCCCTCTAACTCGCCTACGCAACTAGAGAAAATCGCCAACAAGACTAGTTTCTACGGAACAAAAGTGGATCGCACGACTAAATTTATACTGTTTCACCATCCTGCTTTCGCCATAAATTTGTACCAGACTTGCCTCGGGATCATCTCTAAAGATCTTTGTTTCAAAATACTCCATTAAATGACTATATTTGGTGGTGTGTACAATGGGTTCAGCTGAAGCATGATGAGAAACCACTGCCATGGGAATTTTGTTCTCCCGAAGAGTCGATAAAAGGTCCAACACACCATGCTGGACGTCCGCTGTGCGCCACGATTCGGCTATCAGCGTTTTATGGTAGACGCTGTCAAATGTTGTCCTATCAAAAGGTGCTGAGATCCCCTGGACGAGGCGCTCGCATGTTTCATCCATCTGACCAGGTACGAAATAATTAGACAAGATGCATGGGATGCGGCGATCAAACCTTTTAAAGGTGACCGAATCCTCGCATGGATCAGAAATCGTGCAGTCAATAAGAATTCCCTCCATTTCAAAAATTGCGTGGGTCATCCAGGGTTTTAGCCCTAAAATACACAGTTTGTAGACTCCAAAATGTATGCAGAGATCAGTGTATTACTCACACACTCCACAACTAAACCATGAGAACATTTGACAACTTTATACGTACACTTAATTCACAAGTCGCCAGTACTACACGCATCTCTATCAACGATTCTAGGCATTTTAAGAAAGCGCAGCTTTCTCGACGGTTTAGACGGCAATAAAGGCAGAGATGCGGAAAGGTACGCGTTCTAGGATTCTGAGAGTTACAGATACAATCACACAACTCCGATTTCAATTTGAAGGTTATCCCGAAAAAAGCTATGTATTTATTTGAGCTAACTGAGCTTATCGCAGTGAACTATCCCGTATGTGTATAAAAGGATGCATAATTAATTTAAGAACTGTAAAATTCGAAAACGATACCACTCATAGATCCGATAAACAAAAGGTGTAACTAACGGTTACGACAATTAATTCATTAAGAATACATGAATCCTTTAAGATGTGCATATGAGCGCCTGCTAAGCTGAACATTCGCTGCTGAGCATTTAAAATCATCGTAATCTGTGATTTACACATTTGTTTGAATGGATGGAGACTAGAGGATTATTGTAATCGTAGTAATTCCACAATTTTTGTTATTCGTCATTCATTTTTGTTTGGAAAAAAACAATAACAACGACTTTGAATACCAATTACATATTTGACTGTTGTTTAAAAATTGCGCACAGAATAAGTGAGAGGCAAGGCTAGAAGTCAATTGGATATTTTTATGAGACTCCGTCTGGTAAGGGTACACCTCAACAACTATCATTGTTTAATTAGCTTTATCCTCTGCTCCATCCATTCGGCAGGTTAGGGTCGAGGACGTAATTAAAGTTTTACGTGGGAGAAGTTAATGAATGTGAGCCTGGTAATGGGGCGCATATCATATAGACCTCCGAAATGAGTTTATTCTGACAACTGTATCTCAATTATAATTCAGTCAGTAAATATTGGTTCCAACTGATCTCTCCATTCCGAGAGGATAGAGTCTATGTTTGAAGGGATGAACGTCAAATCCAGTTTCCATACCAAACTAAAACGAAGTTAGTACTATAGTGCTCTTGTGTTCGTAGCCTGGCTTTTGGATCAAGGCGAAGCCCGGCCCCAATATATACATTTAGCTCAACTTAATGCCATCCTCTTACTAGTGTGAAGTCTCGAGATCTTGCACCGTTAGCAGTCACCATCTCCCCTTTCGGAGACGACATGAGTTTTGACTATTTGTTCAAGTGCACGATGTGCAACCTGGGTCCCTATACGAAGGCACAATATTTTTCCAAGCAGCTCCATGACTTGCTCTGCGAGGCAATGGACGCGGAATATCGCCGACTTCAGACATTGGCGTATGTTGTGCAATGCTGTCCAAGTTGGTCTCAGCACAAAAGAATCAATTTTTAGTCCTTGAATACTTTAGCGCTTCCTGAAACCAGAGGTGAGTGATGAGCAGTTTGCAAGAGGACCCCAGCTTTTAACAGAACGGGCTTTTAAGAATAACTTTCCCAGTCAAGTGCAGCGGCCCAGTTCGACCACATTTTTTTAGCTCATTCCTATGAGGACATACCGCCTAAATAGCCTTATCGACCTGGCAGTTGTCACAGTACAGGTATTGCAGACCCTACCGGAGATTCACACTCGCCTGCCTTCCAGGACCGTCATTACATCCCCATGAGGGTTACAATAGAAAATGATAGCTGGGTAGTAACTTTTATGCCATGCTCGGTGATCGCCTGGGCCGCAATCACGTAGTCATGGATTTTGCAAAACGCATGTTTACGATTCATGGCGAAGTCCAGAAGGTTGACTTTATCTCCCATGCTGGAAAATGTGTGGACGACATCTGTAATTCCCTCCTCGCCGCTGCGGTTACTACCAAACTCAACCTAAGCGACCTCTGTTCCCAGCCAACATCGACCATGCATGATGAGCGGAAAGAAACGTATTCCCTGCTAATCAAATATTTAGGCCTGTTTTCTTTGGAATTGACAAAGCTGGGGCGAACAGAAGACGTCAGAGGTACGATCAACGCGGACGAGGCCAAGACAATGTTGCAAATGTCTAGACGCATGCTACCTCATCTTCAGAAGGAAGTGAAGCCTCCCTGGGCACCGCCCATTGTCTTATTAAAGAAGAGCGTTGATAGCCTACGCTTCTGTGTTGACTATAGGAGACTCAATACATTGACAAAGGACATGTTTGCCTTGCTCACATAAATGACTCATTGGATTCTCTACAAGAACCCTAGTGGTTCTCCAAAATGACTTGAAGTCCAGATATTGACAAGTAGAGATAGCAGAGAAGAACAAGGAAACCATGGCCTTCAGTGTACCAGTCAATGCAGCTCTGACTGCGATGCCTCTGCTACGCACCAATACTTCATGTGAACCACACTACGTGGACTTGTCATGAACCATTACACCATCTACATGGATGGCGTCATAGTCTATGATAGAGGTGGCGCAAATTACAAATCTCCAACTGGTGTTGAATCATCTTTGAGAGATAAGGCTAGCGTTGAAGTGATGTTTTCCCTGGAGCTCAGTGACTTTCTTGGGACACACGATCTTAGTCGACGGAATAGCAGCCACGGAAGCAAAGCAAGTGAGGACGTGGTCAACTTTCACCAATTATATGGAAGCATGCAGCTTTCCTGGTTCGCTATGTTAATATTGACAATTCGTCAAGGTTTTCGTTAGGATCGCAGGATCGCTATGCCAGATAACGGAAAAACAAACGTAAAGGAGCTTTAATAATTGGACAAACATACAGAGGTGTTTAAGGAGCTGAGATGAGCTATTTGCACGACACCAATATTCACTCTTCCCAACTTTGAGACTGATGCTCCACCTTTTGTGCTGGACACAGATGCGAGCGATATAGCGGTAGGTGAAGTTATCCTGAAAATACAAAGACGGGAATGAACATGTCATAGCTTACGCCAGCTGGCTTCTCAACAAAAAATGCGACAGGAGCACGCAATCGAATGGGACTAGTTGTCATTTATACAATGGTCAGGAATCTCAAACACTATTTGGTGGACAAACAATTCGTAGCGCAGACATATCAGTAGATTTCAACGAGGTCGAAGATGATGAAGAAGATCAACCGCTTTATCGCACTGTGGTATGAAGAACTTCAGTTGTATGACTTCGCCGTTCAGTATAGGAATGGAAGCCCTCACGGCAGTGCAGACGATCTGTCACGACGATCCCCCCCTTTTCCGCAGATAGGATCACAGTAAATGCGTTGTTACTAAGCGAACCTACCAGCCAACACTAAAAGAAAATGAAAAGCGCTGATATGGGAGACTACAGACAGCCTAGGCGATGAGTACGACAAGCAAGGAGCCCAAACAACTTTGGCACAACTGGAAGAAGCTCACCATAGGATGGCATCCTCTGAAACCACTGAAACCACACGAGCAACTGGGAAAAATTATGTGGAAAGCAAATACTGGGGAATGTGAAGAAGAGATATTGGTGGCTCCTGCTTACCTCCGATTTCTCCGAATTTTATCTAGCCTGGGTTACGTGTATCATCTTCAAGAGCCCCATCGCATTACAGTAGCACCTCTACAATTTATGCCTGTGGGATCTCCAAGAGAGAGTTTAAGCGTCGACATCATCGGCCCGCCTCCTACGACTGAGAGAGGAAATCGCTATTTGTTGGTCATTATTGACTACTTCACTAAGGTAATGGAGTTAGAACCTTCACAAACAAAGGGTGCTAAGACAGTAGTGACGGTGTTTTTCAACCGTTTGATCTGCCAAGAGGCTGCATTGGATCTGGTTCAGAGCACTCAGGGTGCCATTTTTAAAAGTCGGATTTTCGCAGAACTGTGCAAAACCTTTGGAGCTCATAAAATGCGCACAACAGCAGGGCACCCACGAAGAAATGAGCAAGTGGAAAGGAAACATTACATACCTATCAAATTCATGAAAGCCTTTACTAAAGGTGTCCAATCTGAGGACTGGAACCTGCACTATGGTGTGCTCTCTTCGCATTCCAAGAAACAGCTCATACCTCGACTGCTTCATTCCTGCACTGTAGGTCGTGGCAGAGTAAAAGAAGCCATCTGAAAACCTAGAAGAAGAGAATGGAGGCTGTGCAGTGTAAATGGTTGTTAAAATTGTGCTTTGTGGAGAAGTAGAAATTAGATTCGAACAATGTATGGGTGAAGCTCGACAAACCTTCCCTGGTCTAACTCAGCCAGCTCTTTCCTCCTCCTGCTTGAGCATCTCTACGGATGCCTAATAAACCATCGTCAAGTAATCCTCATTTCGAGAAGTCGGGGATGAAAAATGTGAAGACATTAGGAGTGTATGGTGTAGAGTTTGCATAATGGTTGATAGCAAAAGTTGTGCAATAATCTACATAAAGTGCGAATTTCGTCTGCTCCTTTCTCTGTAAGGTAGTTGTACAATAGCGTTTGAAGTATAGGAGCTTCAAGTTTGGAGATACAGTAGGTACTTGGCTAAAGTTGATTTCTTTCATTTACAACATTAGCGAACTAGGTGTTCGCCAATTTAGGATAGAATAAATGGTGAAATATGCAAATCTGCTCCCTCGCCTCAGTGCTAAGATTATGCAGCCAGTAGACTAAATGCTTGCATTTCCACCACTTGAGTTGAATTTGTTCACTGCTGCAAACAACCTAGCAGCGTAGAAGTTCGAAAAATTCGCAGGCGTTATCCTGCAACTATTTGTGCGGATTAAAGTACGTACTGTTGGACGTATAGTAAAGCAACCAACAGGCCGCAACAAATTCATAGTGGGTAGAAAAGTCCTTGCAAAATTGGAAAGACATAATCCATAATGAAACTGCAATTCGTACTTCACTTTTGACTCATTCGCAATTTTCTGCACTTTTCTAAAGGGCATGTCTTGCAATCACATTTCAATGAAGGTGGGACTCATATCATACTGCGTAATGCTGCATATGTTGCGTTACCCTTTTACCGACTATTTAGCATACTGCCTAATGTAGCTCTCCGAGACTTGCACTAGGTGGAAGAGGACTGAATACATGTATTCTAGGAGACCGAATCTTGACTTAGCCCAAACGCTAGCTCACGAGTAGAAGAGCAAGACAAAACCAAGCTCCACTGCCAGACATCAGGCAGTCACAAACAAATACTTGAAGGACTCAAGGATGCGTTTAATTTTTTGATCTAATAATGCGATCGAATATTACTAACAAATGCAATTCAGGCTGGTTGACGACATCGGTGTTCCACGCTGTAGGCCCCCCAGCCTACCCTCAGGCTCCATTACCTCAGACTTCACAAGAGGGTTGGTTTAAGGTTTACTTGGCAGCTTGTGCAGAAAAGAGACTATCGATGAAACGATACGTAAATGTCACTCCACAGATGTGTTTTCGCAGTCCTCGCGAATGGGATTCGTGTTGAAATGATCAACCTCTCCTCCCCTATAAAGACAACTAAAATGCATTACACCCATGACTCCCTAAATATCGTAAATAGCATTCCTCAGAGCATTGTAATACAACTTCTAAAGGTCCTTTTGGCTTAGTATTTGGCTGTCGAGCAGTTGAACTAGAGGATGGTGACGCCATGGTCTGAACTAGCTATTACTAATCTTGATCGGTGCTAACGTTATCTTGACCCCTGCAATGGACACAGCCGCAAGGCTGATAACGCCCGTACCGCAACTGACAGCCTAACTTAACACCGTAGCTCCCCTCATGGCTGACGGCTGTGCCATATTACCGACGGTCCACGCATGGTTAATTGGTACACCGACCCGACAGACTATGCTGCGCTCGCTAGAAGGAACCTCAACACTGGCTGATCCCCGGTGCGTCTGATGGAAGATGAATCATGCAGCAAAGTGAAGCTCGAATTTGTCAGCTTCGGAATTAAACCGACGTCGCACCGCCCATCAAAGTTTGACGACTCAATTCTTCACAGAATGCCCAACCACATCCCAACCTAGAAACAACACAATTTTACTTGTTCTGTCTTCATCCTATCAACCTTGCATTTCAGTTGGTAGCTTTATTAGAAGCACGAAAAAGAACAGAAGCTTCACGGAAAGAATCAACTGATTTTCAGTTCACTGACGGATACATTCCCTATGTATCAGATATTGAAAAGCCGCTCTGCGAGACACCAGAAGGTCCCACAATTCGGTGCCGTGTGGCACGTAGGACAGCTAGTTGGTCAAGACAGTTAGTCAAGAGGTTGCGGGCTGTGGCCAGCTCCAAAGGCGTCAGCTGTGATACTCGCGCCGTGGAAGCGCCGCTGAGGATAAAATTGTTAGCTGACGCAACAAATTTACCAACGCGAGCATCCCACAAGTCCTTCACAAGCGTTCGAATTCGCTCATGACTAAAAAATGGCGAAACGATCAGCTTCGAAATACTTGACGTTTCTTTACTAATAGATTCATTGAATAATCCCCATGGAAAAAAAGGTTAAATGAATTAAATGCATACTTGGGTATATCATCTAACGCGTGCTGGAGTAGCATTGTGGCCAGTTCGGCGTAGTGTGGGTGAGGAGGTGTAGTACAACCCGTACTTGATCCTTCTACTTCCTTAAACTCTGATAATCTTGCAACTGACAGCCAACTTGGGGGGACTACGCGACATTTCTGCTGTTGGCGCAAATAAAGAGCAACCCAGAAAGGAACATTAACGGGAATGTTCGGATAAAAGGGCCCAATCTTAAAAGAAATAAAAGCAGGAATCTGTGTAAGGGAACTCAACACATAAGACTTATTTGCACTCTCCAACAGAAGAGCTGAACAATAGGAATAATAAAAGTGGTATATCTTAGAGATGAAGTACCAATATGACATTGCACACCAAGCGATTTTAATACCGCATTATACCCATGGACTAACGCGAACTTCCATAAGATCAATAGAATCCATACGAAATCGCGGTACTATCGTAACAAATTCAAACTCCGCTAGAAACTCCAGTTCGTTGGGATCCATCGCCTCGAAAACACCACCAGTGGTTGAATTGAAGATGAGTAGCATAGTAAAATAGCTACCAAGGTTTAGCAAGTGGAAATTATGTACATGGTGGAAAAGTTAAGATGATGCATTAGGCAAGTGCTAAGACAAGGTAAAGGTTCAATTTCTAGAAGAGATAGACCTACTACAAAGACAAAAGGCATTTGCAAATAAAGTGGTTATCAATGTATCGAGTACATTTTTTGCAAACTTAATCACATTAATCAGTGAAAAAGCTTAAGTATTATTATTACGGCGTGAAATTTCGCATCTTGGAGTTCACGATCAGTAGCACTAACTATATGCAATCGTCCAAAGAAATTCAATTTGTGCCGATCGTAGACAGTTTACAAGGAGGAATATTGATTGAAGTCTGGCTAACTATATGCAGATATTTTGAAAAGGGGCATGTAGTTACTGCCTGTCTACCCTCTGGTCCCTGGTTCTCAGACTTTAAAGGGAAGTTGGTTGTAGACGATTTATTAGACATCTCTATAAGAAGGATAGGGGGATAGAATACAGATGTGATGAACAGGAGGTGTCAATCGCAGGGAGGCTCCTCGTCGACCTCGCGCACGTGATCCACGCTTTCAATTGGTTTCCGCCTCTCGCCTATAAAAGTCCACCTAAACAACTAGAATATATTACAGGGCATTGGCCTTGTCCTGACAAAAAATCTATTTCGTGCCCACCAGAGAAGAATTAAAATCAAAATGCTAGTCAAAGAATGTTAGGTCGAAAGAAAAGATGAAGTTATTCGGCTTTTTCTAGTTTCAAGGACCCGTCTGCGTTACTATGGTAGAACAGCAACCAAATCAATTGTCACACGTCAGGTGGTCACCTTAACTAATTATAATACTTATCAGTACTAAGGAAGAGCATATGCTTTAAGCGAGAGGTTCCCTAAATTCTTCACTGTGGAAGAGTTGGGAATGACGCCTGTTTTGGCTCTACCACATTTCCGTGTTCCTCTGGCTGGCCATTAACATTTAAAGCCACGCCGTCTTGGACCATCTGTAAAAGTTCCATATCAGGGTTGCCTTTACCACATACACGCATTAATGTCGGTGATGGCATAACACCGAATTCTCTTCCATACGGGACTGTATTTGACACCGTCCTCCTTGTTAAACATCTATTATATACCAACGTCTAGTCATGCATACAATTGATAGTCAACAGGGGTGTTCACTCCGACACCTGCTTTTTTAGGCCAAACGTAATGCCAGATCCACTTGAAGCTGCTGAGATGGCCGAGTTCAATCCCTCAATCTCATGGTGGCTGGTGACTGGCGCGGCTGTCTAGTGGACGTTTTTTCTTTGCAGCACTGAATGTACATTGATGGCTGATGTAGGAGGTGTACCGAGAGGAGCAGAAGAGAGGGACAATGCTGTAATACTTTGTTTGTGTGATCGCCTGTGTGACTGGCTATCACCTTTATATGTATTTTACTCTTGTGCACGTGAGCCGACCTTTGGGCGAGGCAAAAACCGAATCTCTTTCCTTTCCCCACGCAAACATGCATCTGGGTCTACTCAATGCTTCTTTTTGTCAAAGAGGAAGTCTCGGACCACTACACTGCTTGTGCTTTAAATTAACTTACAGGAAGGTTGTAACACAATATAGAACTAAATTCATTTAAACCACCTTCCTTGAAATTGCTCCCGGGGCTTATGAATATTGATTGTGATGCGATTTTGTTCTCGGGCCGAATGGAGTTAGTGCTGCCTCAGTGGGAATTATTAAGGCCTTAGAAATCGATGACCTTTCAGATTTGGTGTTTTGATTGCTTTTCTGTGTTTGTGAATAATGGAATATTTAAAGCTGTTTTATGGTGCGCGGAGTTATTCCCTTGTATAGGCCTTCCAGATTCTATTTTGAAATCATCGCCTTTATGTTGTTGGTCACTTACATTCACTTTATTGCTGATTCTAAAGTGGTGATTGTGTGGCCTTAAGCAGTGTTTGTAAATTATTTTCCTGGATCATAGGCTTTCCATCAAGCATTATGGTTGACCTCATCGATAGTTCTTTGGTTAATTGTGATGCCTTACAACACTGGAACTAGTTTGGTCGGCTGCATTTTTAAATTCACTTCTTTCAACATGTAGTGTTGATCTTGTTAGCTCGGTGTTGCAAGATAGTTGTGTATTATGCAATTTCCTATTTGTCAAAACATTCATCCTAGTTGCAGATTTCAGTTTCATGTTGTGACGTTTTTGCTCATTCAACGGTTTATCAAACGCTGATTCCCTTCTCTACATGCTATAAAAATATATTTGGAGTCCCCTCTATCCATTGTTTAATATTCACTGTTTCAGTACTTCGGTTACAACTTAATGGCAAATAGTCATCTTGTGGGCGTTCGTATCGAAACTTTTGATGATGCTCAAAAGCAGTTCTATGAGGCTCGGAATGATGGGTAAGACTTCTCTCTCCAGCGCACCCTTTCTCTAGTTTTGCTTTCATTGGTATAGACTTGTTTCCAGTGCTACAGTTGTGTCCCCAGTCTCCTCATGATGTCGCTGAAATGCTTCCACTTGTCCGCTCTGATAGCATTTATCCAAAAAAGGGTATGCTGTACTTGATATTAAGGTGTTTAGGTGATTCAATTTGTGGAGCTATTGTCGGATTCACATCTAAGTGGATAGATTGTGACTCAACTGACCCAAGAATTTCCTCCATATCTCAGCTCTGCTTACAGAAAGAGCTTTCCTGGGCTGTACATTTAGCGCTTCCAGCCGTTGAAGTATCTATTCGACATGACAATAACGTAAAATTGGCGCGAGTGCTAACTGCATTTATCAAATCTGAAATGGCTCCGTTCAAGGTTGGGGTCTTAATCATACTAAGCAGTGTTTTTTAGATCTGGATATCCGTCCCGATGTACGTTGGAGGTGATAATGCATCGCACACTTGTGGTACGTTTTGCCCTCCGTTCACCTGATTGTACTTTGAAGCCTATCACTTCATTTCACTTTGTCTAGCAGCTTTGTGAATTAGTTAATGTTCACTACTCGTGGTTACTCCTGGTGCTTGCCCAGTTGGTAAATAGACTTTTATGTGTTCATTTTGACCGTAGGGCGAGACGCGTCATCGCCGTGGCACTGGTGGTGTCAATTGGTGGGGCTGGCGGGTCCCGCGGCGTGTGAGTCACTCGGTCTTCTCCTTGAGATGCCTGCCGACTTACCCGAGGAGGGTATTGTCAGCCGCTGGCTCAGCGAACCCGTCACCTGCCTTGCTCTCTCCACTCAGCTCTTCATTACCAATTCCAAAGGCTTTCCGATCCTATCTCGCGCTCATCAGCATGTTCTGCGCAAATTTCTGAAGGTTTCCTTCGTGTCTTCCAGTGTTTTTCTCAATCAGCTTAAAATTAATTTTCTCGGCAGCGTATTTTGTATGCGCTGAGATGCCTTCCCTTTTTAGATTAATGCTCAAGTATTGATCAAGGGATCAAGTCAACATGAGCGTGGTCTCTCTATTTATCGTCAATATATAAGTTGGCTTTGGAAGTGTACTGTTGAAGCGGAATCACTCTACGAAAAGTACTCAATAGGATTTGAAGATCAGCTTCAGGTACTATCTCGATGCTTTCATTGTTATGGAAACCTTATGCCGTTGCTCAATTTTGCATCCAACGTCTTCGCAAACTATGCGGAACATATGTGGATTGATCTTTGCTCCAGGAGCCTCTTCAACCACTCCAGGACAACCTTTCATCAGCAACTTATGGCGTATTCGAAATGGATCCTTACAAATACAGGGCGTATGAAGAAGTATATTTGACTCGTTTGATTTCTTTGCCCCCAAAAGCTACACTTAATTCCTTTTGCGCATCTTTCCTTTAGGCTATCTGTTTGGCTTTAGTACATCGGTGCACCTCCAGAAAGGAAGGAGAGTCCCGTCAGTCTCCTCTCTTGGAGTTGGATTATAAGGGAGATTGCGATGTAAAACAGGTTAGTTCCTCCTTTCCATCATGTATTTTTTGTTCACTTTAATTATGGTTCGCGGTATACTTGGTGTATTTTATTCTTTAATTGTTTCGTTTGGCATCTTTACAACTTTGGCTTAAACATACGATCCGTCTAGCATCTTCATTAGTCAGTCTTAGTAGTCGTTCTTTACTTTTTTTTACTGTGAATGTATCACCTCTCGCCACTATGAGGAATGTTCAGGACGTGCCTCGTGTGATTGGCTTTGAAGTAATTACCCCTTGCTCTCATTTTTTGACTATAAACGTTCAATTTATCGACTTCAAAATTCCCGTTGATTACAGTTTAATTTCGAAGCTAACTGGCTATAGCTGATCTTCGAAAGTTTTACGATACAGCCATTTTTTTCTATTCTAGGTTATATACATACTAGGTGCTGGTCAGGGTCCTTTTGTGGATGCCAGTCTTCAGGCAAGCCGCCGCTCTGGTTGTCCAGTTCGAGTTTACATCATTGAAAAAAACTCAAACGCCCTGCTTACACTGAAGGTATCTTTTTATTGCCGCACCTAAACACCAAATACCGGAGGGCTCAGTTACCCCGGTGGATGGCATTGCGCAGGTCAAATTATGGTTTAGTTTTTGCTCCGCAGTTTGTACTTATCAGTCCTCAGATGCACACACCTGGAAGATCTGAACAATATTTCTACCGACCGCTTCCATTATTTTCGCAAATGTTTCAGAAGCGTCTTTTTCCGTCACCTAAATTTTAAACTAGTCTCCACAATTCATTTAGTTTATTCTGTGGTTAATGGCGACCTGATCCCTACGATATCGTATATGTTCAGCTTGGTAATGCACTAGACCAATGTTTGAGGATCCTCTACACTGCGTTCTTATTTACCTATGCCACTTCAACACTTTTCTGCGCCTGTGGTGAGGCTAGTTTGCAGACTTTACAGCATTACCAGGAGTTTCTCAGGTCACTGCAATGACTATATATCTCTAACTTGGCTCTCAGCACCGCATGCAGACAGATTGGCTGGGCGAGGACGTCCACCTTGTTCCTGGTGATATGCGTTGCTTGTCTGCTCCACCTCCAGAAAAGGCGGACATATTTGTTAGCGAGTTATTGGGGTCTTTCGGGGATAACGAGCTCAGCCCTGAATGCCTCGATGGTGTTCAATATTTACTCAAAGGCAAGTTACTGTTTTGCCAAACGCAGGCATTGGCTGCCTTTACAGAACTACCTTATTTAATAATTTAAGCCCTTTAGATGATGGTATTAGTATACCGGCCTCGTATACATCTTATGTTGCGCCTCTCCAGTCGCTGCGAATACATATTGACGTCTCGAGATGCATGGACAATGTAAGAACTGTTTCACCTCTACTTGAATAAGCGTTCTCTGGCCTCATCCCCATATTTAACTCTTTTAGCCCAAGTTCCAGGAGCGCATACACAGGCATTCAGAAACGCCTTATGTTATTCGACTTTCGAATTGTCAGATACTGGCTGCACCAGAGGAGGCATTTACTTTCAAGCACCCTCGGAAAGGTGACCCTTTATCGCCAGTTTAGCTGTTTTTCAGTCCTAATTCTAGTTAGCCATCTTTGCCTTGTTAATGCAAGCACAGTATTCGTGCATTATACTTTTAAGCATGAAGACCAAAGCTGATTAGGTGAAAGCAGGCAAGATTTTTAACCCATCACGATTGCTGAAAAATTGTTGAATAATTTATTTTGTAGATATTGGCACTACTACCAACAGTCGTTACTGCTGCCTAACTTTCGTGCCGAGAGAAGATGCAATAGTACACGGATTTGCAGGGTACTTCGAAGCCGTGCTTTATGATAAGATCATGCTAAGTAAGTCCATTGGTGCTTAATTTCCGCTTCGCTACCATAGAAACTACCTGAAAGGTTTTTAATTTAAAATTGCTTTTCCGTCGTCTTGGCAAACCAACACCTCGGCGTACCAGCCAAGGCTGTGCCGTTAAATCAGATACAAAGTGGTTTGGAAAGTATTAACTTCCTTTTCGACAGGCATTCATCCACAGCGCCACAGCCCTAACATGTTCTCGTGGTTTCCGATGGTCTTCCCTCTAGTTTCCGCAGTACCCGTTAAAGCAGGCCAGAAGATAGTGTTACACCTCTGGCGCTGCATTTCACCACGGTACGTATGGTACGAATGGGCCACAACCGAACCGACAGTCTCCAAAATCCATAATTCGGGTGGATCTGCTTACAAAATTGGACTGTGAGATTATGTATTTTCTAGTATCCTTGCCAATAAAGTCACGCCAAACCGCATATCACAAGGCCCTTTATCGCTCGGGTATACCCTGCTCACATTGGTCACGACACAATGACCAAAGAATTACAGATTTTAATTCTACTCAGGTATTCTATCTGTCGCATATATTACTACTTAATCGGTCCTACTTACAACCTTTAGGCAGGAGACTGAGGTGCTTCTAAGCTCCCTTCCCCTAGTCATGAGGATAAACTTTTAAACAAGGCCAATATTTATAATACATGGCTAAAGCATTGAGGCGCAAGAAATAAACATCTATGCTTACGTTGAATGTGAAAATCTATACAAGGTAGCACAGGTGTTACCGTCAGATGTAGATCGTGTACAGAATGTAATGTACTATGCACAAGTCGTGCTAAGTCATGTCCATGCGCTTTCGGCATCAATAGCTTGATGCCTCAGGATGTTTCAAATTCTCGACGGAATCTGATGTCGCCTCGACCTGTGTAGAGGTCTTAGAAGTGGACCCTTCCTCATCGGGACTAGCTGTTATCACAACACTCGAAAGCTCCTTGGCCGGTAAGGGTGCTGTTTCGTTCCCCAGACTGGTATCCAAGCTCTCGGTAGCAGGTTCGGGCTCATCATTCGGACTAGGTCTTCGCTTGAGCTGCGTCGTAACCGCTTCAATCTCTGCTTTGTTTCCGTGCTCACTCAGCCAGCGTGCTTGAAACTCTCGAAATTTCCTCACAGATCGCGAATTCGTACTTGATTGAGTGTGCCGGTTCTAGGAAAATAAATGACGATGGAAATCAGTTACCTTCCTAGTTCGGATAAAGATTCCGTATGACCCGACGGACCAATTGATTTTGTAAGCTGTCTTGGGAGCAGGATTGCCACTCTTCATGGTTTTGCTCGATTGCATGCAATCACTTGAGTACGTATCACGAAACACCTGTTCAAAAATTACTACAGGTAAAACTTGGCGCACCTCTGATCGACTCAAGTTGTTTCTAAGCACTCTGGCCATGACTTCCCAAGTGTCCTTTTCAAGATTTTCCTGTTCTACGGAAGTGGAGTCAGCCTGTATTGTTGACTCCCCGCTCTCCTTAGAGGTATCACGTACTAGGCTGTTTAGCAGAACCTTAAAAACAGTAAAGCTTACAACTGTTAATAAATGGAGCTGAGGACAAGGAGTGTAAACGAGTAACAAAGCATTAATCACCTCTTCTGGTTGCGGATCAACAGTTGCAATAGCTTCCTCCTTCTTTCTATCCACGGCCTGGCGCGTCAGTTGCTCTACGCAGCGTCGTACATTCCGATACAAAAACACTGGCCTTACACGGGCTACTAAAGCCGCAGAAATGGGTCCTGCCATCCAACAGCCTGGAATAAGTAGGTATCGAGCGAGATAGTCGTACCAATGTCGTATCTCATGCTCATTTCCTACTTCCGCCCGCCTGAGGGCACTTGCAGCCCGTGCCTCCTCACCGGGTGATGGTGGTGAGATGATACGAGGAGGCGAAGGATACGCCGAAGCTTCGTGGGGATTTTGCTGTGCTGCGACGCACGTTTTAATTATGTATGTGGGATCATGGAGACGAATGAGAAGTTTCGACGCTTGACGCAACATTACAAGCGTGTAGCAATTGGGAACTTGTGAACGAGGAGGAACGGCTGGTTGCGTCGCACTACTGCTGTTAACATTTGATACGCCACCGTTGTCGTCGTTTGAAGCAAGAGCTACTTCTAGATAAGCCGAAAAGACTGCTTGTTGATAATGTGCCTCGTCCTTTAGTCGCGAGTAGCGCGTCCTCAAGGGACCAGATATCCCATTGATGCTAGAAACGAAAACCGATTGTGCAGATGAGATTTGAAAAATTTATCATCAAAGCGAATTTGTGACGGGTACCTTAGACGGTTTGGGCGTTGGCCCCAAGATCAATTTTGCATTCTGCACCAACTTACACTGGAGAAAAGTTACGCCCATCGTTTTCTGCGATTCCAGCGTCTGAGTCCACCCGTAAGCGATTGCTTGGATTCTTAAAGTGACACCGAAACAGGGATGTAAGCTGTTGACTCAACTCATCGCCACTAGCCAGCACATGAAGTTGGCGCACGAGGTTGGTTATTAGGCGATCCATAGTAAACCATGGGTAAGCATATATGCCAAACATATCACGCAGACGATCTTCATACGAATGCACATCCTCACAGCCATCTAAGAGATCTTTAACCAGTTGTAGAGCCAGTGAATAGTAGTCCTTCGGTTCACTTTGTCCTATTAGGGCAAAAAGATGGAAATCTTGAACTGTACGCCTCACTGGCAGAAGCGTAACTGAGTTTTTTTATATTTTCATCACTAAGCCCCTTTAAAAATAGGTAAAAATGATGCGGCCGTAATTTACATCACACCTACCGTCAAGACTGCAGCAGGAGTACATCTTGGCCTCAAGGGGTAACACCAATAACAATATTTGCGTACAGACGAAAAGTATGGCGAACTGACCTTTTTTTCGCAACCTCAAAACGTCAGCCACCTGGTTGTGATTTTTCCCACTCTCATCAACATATTCTTGCTGCATTAGCTGAGATCTTGCCCGCAATTGAGATAGACGAGTGAGCAGAAGGTGGTGTAATCGAAGAAAGGCATACCACTGATTGTTGCCATTCAGGACGCAGTAATATTCCTCCGTAGGAAATCTCGAAGGTAAGTCATTTGTAATCACCGAAACCTTCGAGAACTCCAATGTGTTCTCCCGATCACCACTATCGTTCCCACTCGTGTTTGATGTTTTTCGCTAAAATGAGAGATGTCACTGACGAATTTACTCATGCAATCACTAAGTTATATTGGACGCCACTGCCCATAGATTTCGTACAACTTTAGACTGGAAAAATGTATTAATCTTACCTTTGAACGCCTTCGCCCTTTAAAATCAGACTGCTCCAGCGAAACCGGTGACATTTCCTTAGGTCCATTTGCTGACTCTTGCGACCTTGGATCTCTAGTTTGGTGACGTATTCGACGTACTCGCTTTGGCATAACACTAGCTGTAGATTCACCAATTTCCATTACGGCTTCGCTATCGCCGCTAGCTTCATTCTCGCTACCACCATAATCCTCATTATCTTCACACTCTTCGTCCTCGCCCTCGTCATCTGACATGGGGAAACGCTCTTGCATGAAGAAATCTTGCAAAACCGTACGAACCTTGCATCGCAAAAAAGGATTGTAGTTTAGATAACATGCAATTCAAATTAGCTTTAAAAGTTCGTGTTTCTCAGTAGTCATTGCAGCTTACATATTTAGAGCATTACACAACAAAGTTTATCAATGTCATCCAGAAATAGCATGTTATTAATTCAGCAGCTCAAAGCCCAACATGAAAACACACCTTTGGTTTACAGTTAGAACTATGATATCTCACCAGAAACTTCATCGTTCGCTTGTCCTCCTTGGTGGCATTCGATTGCCTTTTGACGTGGTGTATGATGAGGGAAGATACATCCTGAAGTAGTGAAGCACATGTTTCGGGAGGTGGATACTCTAGTGTTAAATGCATACCACCATTATCCCCAACGCCTTCAATGACGTGGCTCAATGCTGAACCAAGTGTTGCTGGGTTGACAGGGTTCGCACCAGGCGGACAGCAGGTCATGCATTTCGCCAGCATTGCACCAACAACATCGCCAGAGACTGGGTCAGAGGATGCGGACTAGAAAGTAGCGCATAAACCAATAACAATGGAAGGACTCAACGTTGCAAGCATTCTATGAGGCTAAACCGAGCATAAGCAACGTTTAATCATTATCAGAGCAACATGTCTTAATATACGCTTTAAAGAACCTAGCACAAAGTACCAATAACGAGTGGATTTGAGGGACCACATACAGACATAAATAAATTTAGAGCTTACATTTTCACCGCGCGCAATACCTTCAATTAGGTTCACAACCGCTTTTGGACGGGTGAGTGTAGTGTCACGTTGCTTAAAATTGGCGCCCTGATGATCGAGGGATCGGAGATAGTTTTTAGCATCCTGGTCAGCCCAATACTGTTGAAATTTGCGCAACGCCTCTTTCCATTCTGATTCTTTTTGAGCCATTCTCTGTATTACAATTGGCACCACCGTGTGTGGGCAAGTTTTAAGCCCATATATAACATCACCCGCCTTGTCACCGTACACCCTGAGATGGCAATTATGCTTCTCGTAAAATTGATTATTTTGTAAAGCTTCCGATATCCTTTAGTCATTAGTTAGCTACTGCAGTTAAAACTTTCAAATTAATTTCGATACCTTGCTTATAGTCCTTCTAATGCTACTGGTAATGCACTTACATTCCTGCACAGTGTAAATAAAGCAACGAAAATCACACCAAGCTTTATAATAATAACAACTGAACTATGACCCTAATGGGAATGGGTACTAAGGGTTCTATCAAATGCATCAAAAGTCCGAAAGATATAAAACACAAAGCCCACTCCCCAAATATGTATGCATGTGAAAATACAGATCTCACCGATGAATCGCCTTTTTCATCAGAATTGCTGAAGTCCCTCCCAAATAATCATCAAGTCGAAAACTTTGTATTTCATCCCTGCTCATTCGGTCCAACCGACGTCTCACGACGATCAAATTCTGCATTGCAGACCGATTAACTTCCATCACCATGTCTGCCTCATAGCGTTCATCCTCCGTATGGTACATATTTTCTTCATATTGATTCTTTTTTGATGACACAAACTGTGAGTCTTCGGATGTTAGGGAGGAAAAGCTTATGTAGGTATCATTGAGCACGGCTCGGGCAATTGCGCTCTTTACACGTCCCGAACATTTAGGCTGAGGGAAATTCGGTGGAAGAGCACGATAGCTTGCTCCACATGTGCGCAGTTTATTGAAATCCAAATCAAGCCGCCTTTGGGAGACTTCACTTACTAGTGCGACCATGTCAGCTCCTGTGAGTGGATGAATGCTGTTCCCACCGGTTGCTGCCCCAACGTCAGAGAGGGGAGGACTGGCAACGGAGTTACTAGAAGGATATCTCTTAGCGTCTTCATTTTGTAGGCAACTGGATGGAGTTACAACCGCTTCTCGATCTGGCGTTTTCGGCCCAGTTTCACTCGAACGGGATTCGGAATTGGACAAAATAAATAAGTCGCAGAATTGCCGATGAAGTTCAGGATATCTATGCAGGACTGAATTCGATGCTTCCATCAAATACTTTTCGTCTATCAGCTTGCGATTGTAAAGGTTTATGTTCTGAAGCAAGGGTTGATAGTAGCGACCAGCATTATCCGCGTCAAGAGCGTTTCGAATCTGTATAAGCCATAATTATTAAAGTTCACGCAGGCTCACCTTCTGCAACAAGATGGCCTCAGGTCCAGCAATAGTAATCCCTGCATCTGATAAACTCACATCTCTCGGTGTTTGACGCGGCTTTTTAAAAGGAATCGAATCCCCCTGTGAATAACCTTGAACAGATGAATTTGCAACTGCCATTCGTTTCAGTTTTTTTGACTCTGATTGTCCCATTGATTCCGATGGATTACGGTGCCAAGTTGACGAAACATCAGATGCAATGCCAGCACCGCTTGCAGAAAATCTGTTGTGTGCGGCAGAGGACAGTTCACTTACCGAACAATACTGTGGATTTGGATTTCCTCCAGTCCCGTGCTAAAGGATTTAGTTAAGAAAATGCACAAACTCACTGGATCCGACGTCATGCTTGTGGATTCAGGCAAAAAACGACTAAATTCCTGCAATAGATCCTCATGACCATGGAGCAACTTGGCTACGTCTTGATATACCTGCATCTCGGCTTGTTTACGACGATGTGCATCAATATGTTCTTGTTCACGTTGATACCACTGCAGTATTTCCAGGAAACACTTGTAAACATCTGGTTTTGCTTGAAACCGATTCTAAAAATTATCTCCCCTAGGTCTTATCTCACCTTGACTTTGTTCACATAAATGATGGCATGATTAAATGATTGGGCATTGTGTTGTTGTTGTTGTTGCTGCTGTTGCTGTTGCTGCTGCTGCTGAACGTTTGGAACGTATGCTTGTTGTTGATGAGATGATTGAATACTGGGAGGGTATACCATGTGACTTTCAATGATAGCTTGGCTGTTAGGGGCAGATATATGTTGATAATTATGCGACAATGGCTGCTGCTGGGAATCCGAAGTGGTAAGTTGAGAACGTAAAACAGGTGGCTGACTAACAGCAGAAGTGTAAAACGTGTTTTCCGCAGTCTGTGGAATTGGCTGATAGGATATCGTGGACGAACTGGACGGAATTGCCTCATGAGATGTAGACTCAGAATGACGAAATGCTGAAAATGACGGCAGCTTGCCTGGGGATACTTCAGAGGGATATACCTGACCGACAGTAGGAAGTGAAACATTCACTTGTCTTGTAGTGGCAGCTGCACTTTCCAATCGATAGCCCTGGGGTATAAATGTGTTGAAACCGATTATAAGATCTTGGTGGCCATCAAAAAGTTCCCTCACACGCCGAATGACAACATCAGTACCTATGCTGTAGGACGGATTAACCCAGACATAACTTACGTTTGAGCTTTGAACTGGCGCATAACGTCCAGAAAGTCATTATAGATTGCATTCTGGTTAGAAAATCTAGCTTTCACCTGGTCGAGATATGAGAGAGCATCAGCAACTTTTGGTCGGATCATGACATCTGCAAAATTTTGGCAAAAGTTGTAAGCAGCCAAGCATCTTAAAAGGGTGAAAACTGGAGGTTTACAAGCTAACAGAGCAAAGAAAATTGAATTTCGAACAATTCGAAAGACTCCTCGTCCCATGGATAAGGCAGACAGTAAAACTGTTTTCGAGGACAGTACCTAGGTCTAGTATTTGATTAAAATAAGCGTTAGTAACTTCAACTATGTACAGGTTAATTTCTCCGGAAGCAAAACTTTATAAAAGCAGATTGAGTTCCCCCCTCTCAGAGCAGGAAAACAGTGCAAGAGAACCATAACAAATTAGTTATCCCACAGGAAAGAAACATACCACTTTAGTACAATCAACACAGGTAAAAAAGGAGCCAGTCAAGAAAACCTAGATGTCAACACGCCTTTAAGATGCAAGCAATTTGAAAGACTATAAAAAACCATAAAAATAAAAAGGGAATAAAGCTCTTTCATCCAATAACCACAGCTGTCAATAGATAGAAACGAGGTTTCACAAGCTAGATAGAAAGCGTCATACATTACGAAGCTAGGTCATAATGTGCGCTACATACACTAATGGGAATATTAAGGACCAGTGAAACCGAAGAAAGAAGGCATCAATTGCATTAAACCACGAAGGCACAACAACTTACACTAGATCAAAACAAGTGAATATCAACTGCGACAAGAAAAGCCCGGACTTTATAAAAGACCTCACTAAAACACTTATGGTGGAAATAAGACCTTGATAATGTTAAGGCCTTATTTCATTTACTCTGCCTGAGATCAAAGCAGGGCATTAGTTAATCATTGAACTAAAGTTAGACACTGCTTAAGCATGAGTTTCGAAATTGGATATAATTGAATGTTAGGGGACTGAGCAGCTAATTGTAAGCTTAGATATGCAGACTCCTCAAAGCCCCGGGTTCACTTCGACGCCTTAATACTGTAGAATTCCGCTGTACCGGTTTAGCATTTATTTTTTTCTCTTATTTTGAAATATGCTAATCCAAAAATCAGGCAAAAAAATGTGACAACGACGCTTGCCCTCGGTTTAATAAGAAGCCCAATTTATTTATTATTACTCAAGACACAGCACATAAGATCAAAGAAATCCAGTAGGAAAAGTGTCACGTCGAAATTTCTCATACTGCATTCGTTCATAGGTGAAGGAAATGACACTATGAATCTTTAAATTTTAAGAGATTGTGTCTAATTCCCTTTTTACTTGCTGCACATTTGCCTTAGATTAGAGTTTTGCCTTCTAGATCTACAAACAGTCGATGCTAAGAAGATATATGCAGCCTCACTTCTGGCTGTCAGACCAAACGCAACCTCACATTTATTTGAATTCGCTAAGGTGATCAAGTGCCATTTCGCAGTCTCATGGTGAGTGCTGACTAGCGCGTGTGGCTAGTGGGTGATTTCTTGCAGTGTTAAATATATTGTGGTGGGTGATGTGTGATTGGACCAAGTGGAGCGTCGAGGAAGTCACTCACAATAAGAGAAGGTCATTGTTGTAGGAACTGCTTGCCTACTCTCATGCCCTTGCACCATAGACTTTAAGGGATGGTCAGTTGCAGTAGATTTATCGGAAAATAAACACGGGAAGAACGAAGATAGGAGTATAGAGGTACCGAATAGCAGACATAGCCCAGAGAAGGATTCCCCAAGATCCGCACACATCAGAGTTTGCGATCGAATTCGCTTCTTGTCTCTTCCCTATAAAGGTCAGCTTAAACATTAGCATGCAGTACAACTGTATTGACTTGATCATGTTACCAACTAATGTCTGGCGGACACTATAAGATTCCTCTAGCCTTTGCGCGCATGGTTTGTCAATGGAACGAAACTCAGAATTAAAATTTTGCCTCCTCTAAAATGCTTGTTTTGGAATACATGTATCCAGCTCCAATTATTGACCTCTTCCACCCGATGAGAAGTCTCGGGACGCTACAACGGTGGCAGCGAAAAGTGAACCCGAAATTTTTCACCGACTTCTATCCTAGCACGCACCGTTTGTTGCATGTACCTACGGTGTGGAAGAGACGCATTTGCATCGGTGGTGGGGACTCCCTGAAACCATCACAACAAAAGTTTCGAAACTGACGTCTGCATTTGGTTCTATCATATTCCTGTGTTCCACAGATAAGCTATTAACAACTGAAGCGACACCACCGTGAACCATCTGGTGAAGTTTCGTGTCGCAATTTCTCCATACAAAATCCGTGTTTAGGTGTCGGAAATGACACTATGGTTCCCCTTATATGCGAGACATTGGTTCATCTGTTTTAGACCAGAGTTCCACCCTCTAGACTTGGAAGTAATTGATGGTCAACAGGTGCATGCGTCCCCGAATCTGGTTGTCAGACCGAACGTAACTCCAGATCCAGTTGAAGCTGCCGAGGAGACTAGGTAGGTAGGTCTGATACTATCCGTCGACTGGCGCGGTTGACTCGTGGGTGCTTTCGTGTAGTAGTACTGAAAATGTTGTGATGGCTGGTGCGGGAGGTGCACCAAAGGGGAGTGCCGAGGGCGCCGCTCAAAGGAAGAGCGGAGCAGTGTACTGCTTTGTTTACTTAACCACATAAAGTTTGGCGGTCTTTTTTGAATTTGTCTGGCCTCTGTACACGTGGGCTGGTCTTCGGGCTACACTCAGTCCCCATTTGCCCTGTTGTCTTCGGAGAACATGTATTCAACTTCACTTATGCCTTCTTCCACTTTATGAAAAGCCTCGAAACGCTACGACTTATAATTATATTCGATTAAGCACTTCGGAATTTTTTAATTATAAATTTAATGTAAAGCAGGCATTTGTTATTTTAGTATATATTCATAATCACAACTGAGCTCATACTCTATATGGTTTGGTGATAACTTACAACTGCGAAAACCATAAGTAAGAAAACTACAAAAATCAATCACACTCAATCTATTTAAGTAACTTTTCAGAGTATGGCTAGGCTCTAAAAAATTGACCAATTAGTGATTTACACAAAGTACTTACGTAACCCGAAATATTAGCACGCAATGTTCGTGTGTGTTTGCTGTGGTGCTCAGGCCCCCAGCGTATTTATTCAGTACTCAGAGGAAATAATCAACCTTCAGTTGTGTGAACATTGCGGAAGAATAGTTGATAAATATGTTGAGTATGACTTCACAATTATTGCGATAGATTTGCTGGTTTGCAAAATCGAGGCCTATCGACACATTCTTAGGAATGTTGATTTCCCCAGAATATTTCACCTTTTGCTTCTTAGCTGTATCCTGACTGGTTTTCTTGGTTGGATATGTACGGAGACTTTTGATGACTTTGATACAGATGGTATTCACGTAGCAGTGAATTCGGAGCTTTATTTCTACATTCTTTTGAAAATATTTCTTGCTTTGGATTTTGGGTTTTTGTTGCGTATCTTCAGCCACTTTTCGAAGCTTAGTCTTGCGACGCCAGACATCATTAAGTTGCTCATATTAACAAATCTTTGTTCCCTAATAGGCTTGCTGATGTATCCATGGAAGGATATTTTGTTAAGCTACTTTCCCTGCCTTTCGAACTTATTTGCCCCGTTACTGAGCTTCTTTTGTGGACTTTTAACAACAGTCCCTTCTTTTAGGGCGCTTTCGAACGCATCTTGTAAACTTTCTTCAATAATATCTTTGGTTTCCTGTGGTTTGGTTCTTGTGATTGAGCTTTTCGTTATTAAAATACGAATCGGCAATTAATTTGCTTCCTCTTGGTCTATTTGTACGTTCTCTTTAGATGTTCTTAGGAGTATGCTGTCTATATGTTTACCTTCTTGTTCATTCGATTCTCGCCCTAAATTACCAAGTGTCTGTGCAATTGGGATCCTCGTGGAAAGAAACGCCAATCGTCGCTGAAGCAGCGTAAGCGCTTACCAAAGGTTTTGTTTCCTAAATAGAGACCATTCAACTTTGGTCCCATCCTTGAGGTCATAGTCCCTTTCCGGAGCTGTACGAGAACCCACTGAGCGCTTCTTATTGCACTTTCATCACGATTGTTTAAAAGTGATTTTCTCGATAATGTGCCAAGTTAGTTTTTCCCTGCTCATCGAGGTTTTTTTCGATTGTAGGGAGTTCTTGGCTCAATTGTCCTCAAATTATTTCTGGGACTTTGTTGATAGCTTGGACTATCTCTTGGAACATAATGCTTCATCCGATTTGTTTTCATCAAGTGAAAAAATTTCACTAGACGCGATGCGAAAGCTTGAAGAAATAGTTTTAAATGTCCAAGGCGTGTCTGTGGATGAGGATGGTAATCGCGATTTACAGAGACGCCTGTTCAGTCTGACCCTGGCTTCTAGGGCTCTATCACCAGCAGTCCAGACGGCTAATCATATGGCTAGAGTGGCTCATTTTCAGTGGATTTTTAACAAGTCAGAGGTTTGCGGAGATAGCAGAACGTGGGGTCGCATCGGTTCCACATTCATATGTGATCTTGTTCATCTTGGCGACATCGTCAAGGCGGCCTCTATTGCCTGTTCAGATGGTAAAGTTGCTAAGTGCTGTGCATCACACTTCTTAGGCTGCCCTGAGTCGCTCGCTGATTCTGCATTGCTTTCTGATAACGTTTACCCATTTACGAATGAATCAGATGCTATTCCGCGTTTAATAATACACGGCGACTTGCGGTGCAAGGAATTTTATGCTTGGCATAAGAAAGCAAAGCAGCTTGTGGAGGAGAATTCGGTTGTTTACATTTTTAGGCACTTTTTCAAAGTATGCACGGTCATCTATATTTTAAAATGTGTTGAGGCGTCTAAGTTTCTTCCCGTTTTCAGGCTACCTCTTTATCAAAAACATGGCTAAATGGATATGGGGTTACATTAGCTCTAAAGAGCACTGAGTATAAAGCCATGGATGACAAAAATGAAGGTATGAGTAGCACTTAGTTATCGAGCAAGAACTACTAGCCAAATGCCTCTGAATGGCGCATCGTATTGATACGCTTTTGGATTATTTTAGGTGGTAAAGATATGTTTGAGGATGCGTCAGATCTGAATGAGACGGAGTCTGTGTTACAGGGATTTAACTTCACTCAATTGCATGCAAAGTATCCCGATTTGAAGGCAGAATTAGACGCATTTCAACGCCATCTCATAACTGGAATCAGTGAAGTGAAGCCTCTCAAGGCTTGGCAAATGCAAGATCTCGGCTTGCAGGCTGCCCAAACCATTATGGATGCTGCCAAAGAAAGGGACAATGCTATTGCTGGCTTACTGATGCTGCAGGATTTAAGTCAGAACTTTCCTTCCCGTGCTTAGTAAGCCCCGGTTGCCTACAAAAATCAAGCATATTGTAGTGCTTTGTTGTGATCATTTCTCATTTACTGTGATTTTGTGTGGTCTCGATTTTTAAAGGTTTGCGAGCATTCTCTACATTTTTAGTCAACTGTCACAGCGAAATGTGTCTGTCAAGATGAGAGATGAGATGAAGTACAATCAGGAGGTCCTTAAGCACCTCTACGGCATACGACCAGGGAATAGTCTTCTTCTTCTTAATGGGTTGGCTCTTTCGCCAGACATTGACATTTACGCCCTCTTGGATCTTCTGCGTTCTGAGAGCCACCTTCTCAATCAACTTCATGGCCTGGGGCTCTCGGTATGGCCCTTCTTTATGGATTATTCACTGTCGCGGTGGTCTTTGATAATGAACATAGTCAGGAATGGGTCTAGTTAGCCTAATGCCTTTTCTACTTGATATTCTTACAGCGCGGCTGTCCTTACTACTCGTTAGCGTTGTATACTTTCATTATCTTTCCGCATTTTATGTAATTGTTCGTCTATATACAAACCTAATTACAGTTGTCTTCTTGACACTTCATGGTTCCTACGGTCGCGCAGCTTTTGCAAAATCACTATTTTCATGCGTGCTTATTTTGATCGAATAACGACTAGTTCTTCGTGTTTCCTTCATTTGTGGCTTTTTGGCTGAGCAGTAGTATGCTTCTTGAGATTACGGCCATAAATGCAAGCGTCGTGCTTTATGCTATAGACCGACCAGGCCACTCAGTTGTTGCAGGCTTCTCCCAGAGGCGAAGACTCCTATCGCCTTAGTACCTTTATAGAGAGTTACAAGCACACAGTCACTGGTGAACATCTTCTAGACTTGCGCAATGCACCAATTCTCTTTCTGAACGACATTGAGCGAAATTCAGGCTATGACAGTTGGCTGCCAAGTATGCATGCCCTTTTCACGATGGGCCCACCGGGTGCCTTACGACATATTCGGAAAAACCTTTTCAATGTTGTGTTTGTTGTTGACCCCTCGCAACGGACTTCCATCGAAATGCTTAAATTGGCTGAAATTATTATAATGAAGAAGGTCCCTATTCGGTGAGTGAGAAGATTAGTAATCCTCCTATCGATTATAACAAAAGTAGGAGGTGGTCTTCGTTCATTTAACGATAACGAAAACCTATACGTGTTTTATATTGGAAATTCTATTGAAAGCCAACTCTTGTTTCTCTCCCTCTAGTATTGGCCTCCTTTGGTCTGTTAATCCCGAGACGGAGTCCGTGAGCCGGACCATGGTCCGCGCCTTCAACTACCTTGCAAGTAACGTCAAAACCTATCCCAATCGTCGTGGTGTAGCGTTGGGTCTAGGATATCCTGGTGCCATGACTGCGCTTAATTTTCTCACCGACCTCTATGCCAACTCTAACAACGGTGATACAAGTCTGCTAACCAGCGATTTTGTCGAGGCCGAGTTTGAAAACAACTTTCCCGAAGCCTATCTTGAGGACATTTTTGTCGAACCGGGGTTTGAGTGCCCCTATGATTCTGAAATCAAGGTATTACTGCTATTTGTAACGGTCATTATCAGTTACTACTTGGAAGGCTCAAAAAACTACTACGTCAAGTGCGAAATATGTTTCGTATTCCATCAATTGCATTTAGTTTTCAACAATTTGCTTTCCCATGCATTGTTTACTTAAGCAATATTCCACTATCTCATATCTCGGCTTCGCAACCAATATTTCTGTACTCTTGTTTGGTCTATCAAGGATGGGACCATTGGGGGCCGTCCTGTTAAAATACGTTCGGGAAGAGAAAATCTTCTTTCCTGATCCTATCTTACCATCATTCCCTGGACTCGTTTGTATAAATGACTGCTTAATATTTTAACTTGACATAATCAATTTGACTTGCTTTCAGTCAATGTTAGTATTGCTTGCATTCAGATGAAGGTGTAATCACCATTAATTCGTCATACTGACCGGTGAATTTCAGAGGCTAATTTTTTTGAAATCATACGAAGCGATTGTGTTGTAGGCGAAGGTTTCGTAATGCCGTGTGAGCATGGTGTGGGTGCGTGCGCATGAATTAGACCGCTGATTTGCTTATGTTCGCTGTTTCTTACGATCCACTGTTTAATCATCATCTCATTTGGTCGTGGACTCCGGAGATAAAAATACCCCACCATTGAATTCTGTTTCCACGACTCAGGCACCAAGTATGCTCACGATTTTCAAGTACTAACTATCACAACAGTCTTCCGACTCGAAAAAAAGTGGACGAGAGGTACCCAAATGCGCTTTTTCAGCTATTTTAAATCCATAATGTAAAAGCATTGAAAGCTTTTGGGATCGTAACTTGTCTAATGAGGTAGCCGTAGACATATCATGCTTTTTGGTCAGGATGATGTGACATCAACAAATATATTTTGTAACCTCCAATGCTCATTAATGAATCTTTTTTCTTTTCGTTTTCTAGAATCATTGGGACTACTTGGATATAAGTGGTATTAAGCAGTCCGTGGGCTACCCCTGCCTCATTTCCAATGGCATGGTTTTCTCTATGGATGGAATCAATAAAATGGGGGGTTTGCAGGCGACCGTCATGACAACTGCATTGGAACAGACGACATACTTCCAACAAGCCACCCTTGAAGGTCGACTACACGATAGTTTATCCGTAGTAGATTTGTTTGCGGCAGATGATCTATTTGTTTCTCGGGTCAACCATCGTCTCTTACCTGTCTTACCTCCTCTGGTAAATAAATTTTCTCTTGGGTACGGGTTCGACGGCACCCCTGCGTCTCCCTTCCTCCAATTCGGCCAGTTTAAGGCTCTCAGCGGAGGTAGAAGTGTTGCTTCGTTTTTCGACATCTCTCCTTTCTCTAGTTTCATTTTGCGAATCCCAATCACCTCGATTTCGCTTTTTAGATCTGGACTTGAAGAATGTAACAGCTGGGGAAATAACTAATCTTTTGGCTGATGAAATGCGCTATCTACTAAAAGGCGGTAAGTTCATCTCATTGCAAAATCAAGGATGCTTTCATCAACACATCCCTTTCTGCTCGAACAAACATCCGAAATAACTCCAATACCGATTTATGTTGTTTTGGGCTTGTATTTATTTATCCAATGCATTTTTTAATAAGAAAGGTCCTCCAGCAGCACCAATCCTGTATGATCTTAATGCATACTGGAACTATGGCCTATTGTCGCGAAGCGCAGGACTACCAACGAACGGACTGAAATTACTGGAACTGGATAGTTCGCGCAATTAGTTCTATTATCGACTGCTCATTTTTAACTATTTTGCGAAATCTCGCACTTAATTTTTGAAATCGAGGTCATATTTTCCCTAAATCTTCTTAGGCCTAAAACGTCATGCTTCAAAATTGTTTTACCTTATTGGGAACTTTCACTAGAATCAGAATTTGATTAATTGGCGTGCTTTCTAACAAATTTCCCCTTTCCACCACCCCCTTGTAGAATTGGAGAACGAAACCCGTGCGAACACTATATGGGTGGTGCTGGGCGATGTAGAACCCTCTGCTGGAGTCACCTCTAGTCATGGTCTTTTGTTGCTCGCACAGGCGGCCAGGTTCATGCGCCGACATGCGGCCATGGGTACACGCCTTGGTCTCGTCCTTAACCCCTCTCATCCGCCTACCGGTCAGACTGTTGGCGTCTGGGGTGGTTGGGGTTGGTTCACTCGGGTCCTCCTACTCATTGGCCATCCAGCTGAGCGCATGCTTCATCCACCCCTCTTCAAACGGTCCCAAAAGTACATGAATGTTATGGCTGCCAAAAACTTTGCGATCAAAATCGTCGAGGAGGCTCTCAAGGTCTCACGGGGCGAAACGAAGAGCGTTCGTCCTCTCTCTGAATTGGCTGTCACGGTAAGCCTAGGGAAATAGAACATCCTAGAAATATATATAACTGCCAACTCCCTGTTATATTTCAAATATGGTCTGTCACTCTCAAAGGTCCAGGAGCAACCTCACTCATTCGACTTACACCAGGACTTCATGTTGCATTTCGAGAAATGTTCATATTTCTGCACTTCAAATCGATTTCATCCTTCCTTAATGTTTTTACAAAGGTGGATTTTCCAATTTTATTAAGGCAGGTCAAATTTCAGTTGACACCTAAACACTGAGCCTACATTTGGTGCCCTGTAATGAGCGCTTTTCTTCAATTGAAAATGTGCATCGAAAATGGAGCGAAAAGATATAATCTGTTAATCTGTAATCTTTCCGTTGGAACTCCTTTCAAAAGGGTCTTGAGGTCGATAACTTCCTCAAAGCCTTCATTGAACTCGATCTGGACCAAAAACTCGCTATACATATGACCTTCTGTCAGAAGGCGCTTCACATGCGACCGGGCGACTCTGCGGTTATTATCAATGGTCGTGTTTATGGTCCCCTGGGAGGCAACGAAATATTCGCTTCGGAGGATTTCCGTTTGGCCGAGCAGCTCTCTATTAGGAGTGCCGGTATGGACGAAATGGCTAAACGCCTCGCCAAATTGGTTCCGGACTCAAATTCTAACTACGTCTCTGAATTGGTCTGGAGGACGGCTTCTGTTCTGGAATCAGCTAAGTGGCGACTGAATGCTTTCGCCAAAAGTGTAAATTGGCATTTTGCTCTAGATTTTTCGCAATATTAGATTCGCTCCCCCATCACTGCTACTGAATCATTTTTAGTTGTCTTCGGAAGGTATATTCACAAGTGGTGGAATTTCACGCATGACTTTCAGAGGTGCAAGGCTGACCTATTCAGCATTTACGCTGCCTGCAAGCAACGCTGGCCTAAAGTACGATATTGTCGCTTTGGTGGATCCGGTCTCGCGTGATGCACAACGACTCTCCCAAATACTGCTCGTTTTACAAAGATCCCTTCCTTGCAATATCACCGTTATTTTGAACCCAGTATATGGACTCAGTGATCTTCCCCTAAAGAAGTTCGTATGAAAGCTATTGGATCAATGGACTATTTTCATACTTGACGTATCTTTTTTATAACTAGCTACTACCGCTTCGTCTGGAATCCGAGTCTCTATGCTTCAGAAGGCGGGGATCTGGCTGTGCCTCCAACAGCACTCTTCGATCAGTTACCCGGGAAATCCCTTCTCACTCTCGGTGTCGACGCACCCCACAACTGGATGGTGACGCCCATTCGAGCCGATGAGGATTTGGACAATTTGCGGCTTGTCGATATTGCTGCTCGCACTGGGGGTCATCGAATCGAGGCGGAGTTTGAGTTAGAGTATCTTCTACTTGAGGGTCACTGTCTGGATGAGTCAACTAGGCAGCCTCCCAGAGGTCTCCAGTTCACTCTCGGGACGGCCGAAAAGTTAGACCGCTACGATACTATTGTAATGGCTAATTTGGTAAGCTCACTACCATTGCTTTTCGGTCATAATTACGAGGCCGTGCTATCTCATTATTTACCCTCGTTAAGGTGGTAGTCAAATGGAAGTATAAACACCTCTAATGTGTTTAGGCTTCTTGTCAGATGAGGCTTATAGTCTTATATTTTACTATTCACTATCGGTCAAAGTGAGTTTGCTTATGTACTTTCACTTACCCATTGGACGTAAATTGCTTTTGTATCGCTGATGGGCATGGTCCCTTTCGATTGTTCTTAGGGTTATTTTCAGCTGAAAGCGAATCCCGGCGCATGGCATCTTAACCTGCGAGAGGGTCTATCACGAGATATCTACAATATCATCGGGTAACTATGCTTTCTTCGATGATTTTGTGTAGGCGGCCTAGGTATGCCCACAACTTTTTATTACTAGTACCCCTTATTATAACTTCTCATCAATGGGTGGCATTTAGGGTTCCTTACACCCCTTTACTATTTTCCGATTTTCATTGGGAAGCAAATTCCTACCTTTCGATGCATTTCACTATTTGGACAGATAATCATCGGCTTGTGAGTGCGGCGTTACTCATTTGTAAATGGAATTTCTCGCCAATCGATGTCGTTCGGTGATGCAGTTCTTCCGTTTTAGACACGAATATGCAGATAGCCCTCCGGATGCACCCTCTTTGATAGCTGTTATCGACAGCTTCCGTCCAAAGATAATTCGCACCGATGTTCAAAAAAAACCCGGTCATCTCAAGGACAGTGTTCTAGACGTGAATGAGGAGGGGGAATCAAAGACATCTGGCGGCGATGGCAATCAAGCGAAACCTCTTGAAAAACTTTGGTCTGTTGTTGACAGGTAGTTCTTCATGTCATGTATCAACCTACCATAAGCTACCTGTTCACTTTCCTATTTGTTTCTTCCTCCCAGAATTACAGTAGTCTAGTTTTTTTTTCAATCTGATGGGTAATTTTTAATCATCTATATGCATTACGCTTGGGATTATCATTAACCATTTCTTTCTGCAGTACACTAAACTTTATCAAAAAGTCTTCATATGCGTCCGGGGACCCTGCAAGAAATCCGAACAACGAAACCATCAACATCTTTTCTTTAGCCTCTGGGCATCTTTACGAGCGCTTTCTTCGGTATGCTGGCCGCGATATTATCAACTGTGATGTATCTTAGCTAAATGTAATGCATTTCACTCATCCACAGCTATAACTCTCACTCGTCCTAGCATTATGATGCTCACGGTGATTCGGAACACGAAATCTCCTGTCAAATTTTGGTTTTTGAAGAACTACCTGTCGCCTTCCTTCAAGGAGTTCATTCCCTACATGGCTGCCGAGTACGGCTTTGAGTACCAACTAGTACAGTACCAATGGCCTCGTTGGTTGCACGCTCAGACAGAAAAACAGCGCATTATCTGGGGCTACAAAATCCTCTTCCTCGATGTCCTCTTCCCCCTTGATGTCAAGAAAATCATTTTTGTCGATGCCGATCAGGTATCTTCTTTTATCAAGTGCTTCATTCCCATCGTTCGTTTGGTCCCTAGTAGTAGTACCCGCTCACTTTCTTTTTCATTGATCTTTTACATTATTAGATCGTACGTGCAGATTTGCAGGAGTTGGTGAACCTCGATCTGGAGGGTGCGCCCTATGGCTACACACCGTTTTGTGATTCACGAAAGGAGATGGAAGGCTTCCGTTTCTGGAAAAGTGGTTACTGGCAATCTCACTTGGGTGACCGCCCCTACCACATATCAGCACTTTACGTGGTTGACCTGGTCCGATTTCGTAAGATGGCTGCTGGCGACCGTCTGCGCGGGCAATACCACGCCCTTTCGAAAGACCCAAACAGTTTGTCCAACCTAGATCAGGACCTCCCCAATAATATGATTCACCAAGTGAATTCCTTAGGCATTCCGGTTAAACGAATGCTATCATAATATCATTTTTTGCAGCACCTTATCTATTTAATCCACCTGCACTAGTTACCATCATATTCTGCGGTTGACAAGATGTACAGACAGTCGAACTTACACCTGGCTTTTTATTCCAGGTGCCAATCAAATCACTTCCCCAAGAGTGGCTTTGGTGTGAAACGTGGTGTTCAGATGAGAGTAAGGCGCAAGCCAAGACAATCGACTTGTGCAACAATCCAATGACTAAAGAGCCCAAACTCTCAGCTGCAATGCGAATCATACCAGAGTGGAACAAGTATGATGATGAAATCAACGCCCTCCAACAACGCTTTGCTGAAGTTAAGAAAAACATATCCAAAAAGCACACCAACTTTGACTCATTTACAAAAGAAGGTACTCTTCCGCTTGTTTAAATTTAATTAAGTTGTTTTAATTACTTAGTGGTATAGAATATATGATACTCATTAGTTGTAAAGACTATAAATAGGGCATATCTCGACCATTTTCACGTAGGATTTACTTTATCTTAACTGTCTTCATATAGCACTATAATTCATTATTTCGCATACACATACTCAATGGAAGGCCATTTTACCCTTGGAGATGAATACTAACTCCAAGGGCGATAATACATACTGCATTGACTGTCATACCAATCTCCAAAACTGCATATTGTAGCCATT